AGAGTAGTAATTTGCAGAAGTGTAATAAGTGCAGAGGAGGAATTATGTTTTACCCCTCTAGGGGTATTCAGTAGTGAAAAATTTGTTTTATCTCTTAGCTATCAAATATTTTCATCTCTTTAAATCTAGAGCCCCAGAATATGGACTGTTAGTTTATAGTAAACCATACATGAATGAACCAGACTGCCAGTCTGTCTGAAATTAGGTTATTTGAGCTGTTGCTAATGACAGACAAAATTTTATGATTCCTCTGGTGTTGCTCCCATTCTTAATCCTATTTCTGTCAAGAAGAAACTGAATGTTGGAGAAAGGGAAATTGCCTTGTCATGCATTTACTGTATGTGGGGAGGTAATATAAGTCTAGATTAAGCCTCATCAAATATTTATATTATACAGGCTAGGTGAATTAATTACTGCATCATTTTAGTTCCACAATCCCAATCCCAACATGTGGAATTATTGTTTCACTTTTATCTACTCGATTATGAACACCTTAGTTGAAAACGAAAAAAAACCCGTTAAAAATAACAAATAGTCCTGCAGCACCTTAGAGACTAACAAAAAAGATAGATGGTATTGTGATCTTTCGTGGGCACAACCCACTTCTTCATATGAATGGAGTTTAAGGGTGCCAAGTTCTAAATAAATAGTGCAGAAAGAGGGGGGAGGGGGAGAGGAAGGAAAGGAGAAAAAAATGGAGAAAGAATAGTCAATTACACTGTCAATGTTAAATGAAGCTGCTAGATTGGGTTCTAAGTACTCTTAAGTAACTAGTGTTTGGCTTTTTATGTCATTAGGATGTGGAATGTAGTGGGTAATCCAGTTAAGGTCTTTGTTTAAACCTCTCTTGTAGGTATCAAAGTGGTAGATGAAATTACATTCTGCAGATTCCCTTTCAAGCTGTTTTTCCATATTATTATGAGCCAATTTAAAACACTTTGAGATCCATTAATGAGTGCCTGGACTAGTTAAAATGTTCCCCAACAGGTTTCTGTATGTTACCTTTTCGAATATCTGATTTGTATCCATGAATCCTTCTTGTAGAGACTGTTCAGTTTGGCCAATATACATGGCAAATGGGCATTGCTGGCACTTGATGGCAAAGATCACATTGGTGGATATGCAGTTACATGAGCCTCTGATATGGTGATTTATGTGGTTAGGTCTTGTGATAATGTCACTTGTATAGCTGTGTAGACAGAGCTGGTACTGGAGTTGATTGTGGGGGCGGGGAGGTTCCTGGATGAGAGTGATGGAGGTGTGTTGTGTGGTTGCTGGAAAGAAATTGTTTGAGGTTAGTGGATTGTCTGTAGGCGAGGATTGACCTGACTTCCAAGGCCTGTGAGAGTGAGGGGTCATTTTCCAAGATAGGTTGTAGATGGTTGATAATGTGCTGGAAGAGAATGATTTGGGGGCTGTAGGTGATGACAAGTGGAGTTCTGTTGTTTTCTTTGTAGGGCCTATCTTGAAGAACCTGATGTCTGGGTACTCACCTGGCTCTGTCAATCTGTTTTTTCATTTCTCCGGGTGGGAATTTTAGTTTTAAGAATGCTTGACATAGATCCTGTCAAGCCTCTGTGGGATTGGAGCAAATCTGGTTGTATCTTAAGGCCTGGCTGTAAACAACTGATTGGGAAAGGTGTCTGGGATGAAAACTAGAGGCATGTAAGTAAGTGTAACGGGTGGTAGGCTTCCAGTATAAAGTGATAGAAATGCGGCTGTCATGTAATTGTACAGTAGTGTCAAGGAAGTAGATCTCTTGTGTGGACTCAATTACTTTTTCTATTCTTATTGGTACTGAAATCACAGGAAAGTCCTTTACTTCAGTTGTTTACTGATAAGATGTTAGTCTTTTGTGTGTGTGTTGAATGCATTTAAAATAAGTACTTTTTCCTCCTTTGAGAGAGTAGAAATAAAAATACCATGTAACTCTTGATCGATTTAGCTCACTTTGATATTCCTTTAAATAGAAGAAATAGCACAAAATAATTAAGTTTCTGTTATCTTACTTAACTTGAACATTACATTTAATTTTCATTGGGGAAAAGAAAGGGGAGTTATTCCAAAACAGTAGATGAAAAATGAAAAGAAGGAAAATGTACAGGAACAATTTTCAAAGTATTGATGTTCTTGTTAGTTTTATAGGGTCTTTTTGGATATGTCTACTGAATGGCTGGTAATGGAACAAGTATGTCTTTTGGAGCATGAAGGAAAGCTCTTAGTCCATTGCTACTATTGTTTGTACCTCCCGGAGATCATTTTATTAGGCACTAATGCTATTCTGGAAAATCTAAAAGTCTGCAGGGTGCTTCTGAGTAACTATCTTACTTTTATTTCTTCCTTTCACAGTGTAGACATCTCTTAAGTCAACAAACTTAAATCTTAAAGTTTACTGTTGCTTATAGTACTGTCTTAAGCCCTAGAAAATGACAATTGGAGTGCAACATACAGCTTCTGAAATTGATTAGTACTGAACTAGATGCAGTTTCTGATTAGAAAGTATGGATAAGTTCTGCCTGGATGGACAGGGTTGGGGGAGAAATCTTTTAAAAATATAGTGCATATTGAATATGCCTTTATTTATTCACCTAAAAGTGTTTGCTCTTGATTGCAGGTCACTGGATTTCTTGCAGTATGTTTTCAACCTCTTTCCAGTACGTATAAGTAAAATCTTAAGGTGAAACTAGTTTTCTTTGAAAGTGAATAAAAATGGTGCAATAAATGAAATTGCTTATACAAAGCTATATTTTCCCCTCTTTTCATGAACTCCTCCTTCCCCCCTCCCCCCCCCCCACACACACACCAGAGTTAGGAACCTGTGGAAAAGAAATCTCTGTGAGGAAATCTTGTTATTATGGGGTGTGGTAGCACCACAATGGATAACATTGAAACTAGCTTACAATGTAATAGCCAATTTTTTCAAAGTGCTCTGAAATCCACATTCTTACCCTGATTTTTCTTGAAAACTGCTGTGCTTCATGGGGATATGGGATAGAGTTAATTTGTTGCTGTTTGGTCAAAGAGATGTCAAGATACAGCCCCCTCCCCTCCAAATATCAAGTACCATCAATGTTTACAGTTCCTATAATTTTTTTTGAGCGTATGAAGGATTCAAATTTTGACTCTGGTCTACCTCAGAGAGATATCACTCTCTTGGGATTGATCTCTTTGAGAACCAATATTTTAAAAATTACTCAAGATCAAAGTTGGATCTACAAGGTGGATTGAGCTATCTTGATGAGTCATAGAAAGTAATTTCTGTATGTGCAATGGAACTGGGGCTCTGTTTCAAGTCAAAGAATTTGCAGCTGACCTGATAGCAGAATAGGTAGCAAACTTAAGATGACAAGTGGTGGTTGTTGAATCCAGAAGCACCCATAAATCCACAGAGAGAATCCTCCATCCCACAATCTTAACTCTGTCCTCTTTGAGTGATGCCTCAACATGGTCCTGACAACCTCCAGTATAGAGCACTGTGGGGAAATGACATATGGATACAGTAAAAGAAACTGACAAGATTGTGTCCCCAATAAAATAAAAGTTGTATTTAGGGGACCTTTGGCTCTTAAAGCATGAGTCCTTACTGGCTCAGCTAAAAAGTTTGGTTGCACTTGTAGCCAAAAGTTCATCAACCTCTCTATGTGGCCTAGTCACCACTAAAGAGGGACTGAGTGCCACAGAAAGTAGGTGTTTTTGAATCATACTTGCAGCACTATATTCATTTTAAATATTGCTTTACATACATATGCCAGTTTTTTCATAAGTCTTGCTGGAAATCATTTAAAATGTTTTTTTAAAATCACTAATAATCTGCTCATGATTTATTAGCTGATATAGAGTATTCTTTATCAATCTTTCCAGGACAAAGACTTTTGCATCATCACAGTGCCACACCTCGTGCCAGAATTCCTTCTGATCCAGAATTTTGTTCGAGTTGATCCATTCAGCAATTCCACTCTTGATCATGAGCTCTATGTGTTTCACCGTGCAGGACTGCTCACGTAAAGATTTTGCTATAAGTATATTAACACAAAGGGGCAGTAGAGACCATGGCTAAGTTACTTTATATTTTAATTTAAAAATAATTAATTAATGACTTTCCTTAAATGAAATCACAAATAGGGAGACAGCTATAAGTGCATAAGCAAACCAGCTTCACTAGCTTGCAAAAATTCATATTAAATGTCTTATAAAGTAATAAGCTCAGTAAAATGCTTCATGAAATTGTTACATTGAAGATTCAGATTAGTTATAGTGGGGTATGGTAGCACCACAATGGATAACATTGAAATTAGTTTACAATTTAATAGCCATTTTTTTCAAAGTGCTCTGAAATCCACATTCTTACTCTGATTTTTCTTGAAAACTGCTGTGCTTCATGGGGATATGGGATAGAGTTAATTTGTTGCTGTTTGGTCAAGGAGATGTCAAGATACAGCCCCCTTGTTATTGTGGGGTATGGTAGCACAAAGTGACATAAAGGAATTACATTCTCTGAATTATCTAATTTGTAGACTGAGCATGTAATAAAAATGGAACAGACACAGAGCAAGCAAACCAGCCTATTATCCTTCTTTGGCAGGATAACCAGCCGAGTGGATAATGGGAAAGCAGTAGACCTAATATATCTGGACATTACTAAGGCCTTTGACAGAGTTTCACATGAGATTCTCATAAGCAAACTAGGGAAATGTGATCTAGATTAAATTTTTATCTGGTGGGTGTACACCTATTTGAAAGACCATAGAGTAGTTATCTATGTTTGCTGTCATTCTGGAAGACATTTCGAGTGAGGGCTTGAAATGGTCTATCCTGGGTCCAATTCTACTTAATATTTTAATTAATGACCTGGATGATAGAGAGGAGAGTGGTCTTATAACATCTGAGGCTGACACCAGGCTGGGAGAGGCTGCAAGATGGTGTCCTGCTATGAGTGCAGGGGCCTCGACTTGATGACTTTTCGAGGTTCCTTTCATTTTTACTATTTTATGATTCTATAACCTTGGAGGACAGAATTAGAATTCAAAGTGACTTTGATATATTGGAGAACTGATTTGAGATCAATCAGATGAAATTCAATAAAGTGCAAAGTACTGCACTTCAAAAGGAAAAATAAAATGTATAACTACAAAACGGGGAATAATTGTCTATGCAGCAGTACTTCAGGTAAGGATATGGGGTTTATAGTGAAATCACAAATTTAATATGAGTCAGCAGTGTGATGCTGTTGCACTAAGGGCAGACCCCATTCAAGGGAGTATTAATAGGAGTATTGTATGTAAGACCCAGGAGACAGTTACTCTGCTCAGCTCTGGTAGGACCTCAGTGGGAGTATTATGTCTGGTTTGGGGCACTGCACTTTATGAAAGACATACTACAGATTGCATGAGCTGTAGGGTTCTTATTCCAACTTCCTGTTTGTGTTTTTCTACCTTCTGGCTCATTAATACTTTAATCAAAAGCTTCAGAGGGGTAGCTGAGTTGGTCTGTAAGGCTACGTCTAAACTACGCCCCTCTGTCAGCAGAGGGATGTAAATTAGATGTCTCAAGTGCAAATGAAGCTGGGATTTAAATATCCTGCGCTTCATTTGCATAATGGCAGCCACCGCTTTTTTTTGAAATGGGGCTTTTTGAAAAAAAAACTGGCAGTTTAGATGGGGCATTTTCAACAGAACTGCCCCATTTTGAAAGATCCTGAAAGACTCCTCAAAAGAGTACTTAAAAAAACAACGACTAGTCTTGCAGCAACTTAGAGACTAACAAAACATGTAGTTGTTATCATGAGCTTTTGTGGGCACAACCCACTTCCTCAGATGAATGGAGTTATTAAAGATCCAGTTTCAAAATAAATAGGGGATGGGGTGAGAGAAGGAAAAAGAAGGGAAAAAAAGAAAATAAGGAAAAGAAACAGAGCATCTTCTTTCCCCTCCTTTTTTGTTTTTTGTTTTTGTTTTTACTTTTCTCCTAAGGCAGTGCTTGTTTGGCAAGCTTCTACTGGTGAAATTCTGACCATGCCTTAGTTATGAATCTCACTGCCGATAAAACTGGGAAGACTGTAAGGTCAGTGCTAATGTCATAAAGCAGTGATGCCAGGCTCATACTTGTATGGGGCTAATCCTGGGACATCATGTATAGCATTCCCCTTTGCTGGTATTAGCTGGAAGGCTGTCCTCTTTTGTTTATGGTCCAGCACTCTCAGATGCATGGTGCCTTCAGTCCTGTTTTTTTGTTTCCTTAAGTGTTAGTGAATTCTTTCTTCTTTTGATCTGTGCATACATAGAATAGAATATTTTAGTGTGTACACTTCTTTCTGCTTTGTGCACTATCCATGCTTCACATGATTAAGTTTGCAGGTGGTTGTCTTGTAGACTTGGGTTGAGTGGATCTCGAGAAAGATAAATTTGTGTTGGCTTCCCTCCATCAGTGTCAGGTACCTTCACTGTATTTTTATAGAATAGCAAAAGAAAAATTCCAAAAATTAATTATTTCATAGGAAACATAAAATTAGAAAAAACAATATGTAAATCTATTTTATATGTAGTCTGGATAAAATTTGTATTTCCCTAACATAATTAATCAAATGTTTTTTTTATTTATTCATATGAAAAGAAGGATAATTTTCCTTATTCATGGTATAAAAATAACTATATTTCCTCTCTTGTTTTCCTGAACATAAGAACAGCCAGACTGGGTCAGACCAAAGGTCCATCTAGCCCAGTATCCTGTCTTTGGACAGTGGCCAATGTCAGGTGCCCTCAGAGGGAATGAACTGAACAGATAACCATCAATTGATCCCAGTCCTATTGCCCATTTTAGCCTCTGACAAGCAGAGGTTAGGGACACTATTCCTATCCATCCTGGCTAACAGCCATTGATGGACCAATCCTCAGTGAAAGTATCTAGTTCTTTATTTAACCCTTTGAAAGTCTAGGACTTTACAACATCCTCTGGCAAGGACTTCCACAGTTTGACTGTGCATTGCGTGAAGTACTTCCTTTTCTTTGTTTTAAACCTGCTACCTATTAGTTTCGTTTGGTGACTCCTAGTCCTTATGTTATGGAAATAAGTAAATAACTTTTCCTTATTCACTTTCTCCATACCAGTTATGATTGTATAGACGTCTGTCATGTCCCCCCTTAGTCTCCTCTTTTCTAGGCTAAGACGTAGCAGTCTTTTCAATCTCTCTTCATATGTGAGAACATAAAGCTTTCATATTTATACATTTAATATCCTTTCCATAAAAATAATACATTCATTTTTATGGTATGAGGCCTCTTACACTTAACACAGCTTGGGGCCTCAATGTCTTAATCCAGCTCTGTATGTAAAGAACCTATTTCATCTTCCACTTGGCCATTTAAGAAGTCATTAAAGTAATTACTGATAATCTTAGGCACAGCTGTTTGAGTAATTCATCAGTGAGATTGAGAGCCATATGTCCTTTTGATATTGGTGACCAAAATTAAATTGTCTTAAAGGTTTTGTAAAAGTCTCTACAGTTCTGCATATATCACTTGCATTTCAAGTAAGGTTGTTAAAATAGTAAAACGTGTAACCTCTGAAATTTTCAGCAGTTACATGTTTACAGTTGGGGGGAAAGAAAGCAGCAGCCTGGGGCGGGCGGGCCTTCCCCCCATACTGCTGCCTCCGCAGGAACCAGCACTCATGGAGAGCTGGCTTAAAAGGTGGCTCCCGTGTGTACCAGCTCTCGCCTGCCTTCCACCCTGCACTGCTGCCTCTGTATCAGAGGCAGCAGCGTGGGGAGGCAAGTGGCTCCCCGAGAGCAAATACTCAGGAGGAGCCTGCTTAAAAGCCAGTTCCCTGCAAGCACCAGCTCCCACTTGTCCCACTCCCCCCGTGCCATTGCTGCCTCTGTTATAGAGGCAGCAGTGTGTGTGTGTTGTGGGGTTTCATATATCTGTGAAGGTTAACCAATGAGCCAAGGCTCATCTTTCTATTTCAATGAAAGCACAATGGTTAGGGTGATAGTGACCTTTGCTCAGAATTCCTGCATTTCTGGAGGAGAGTTTCCCTTCTGAAGAATCTCTGAAGTCAGACCTCAAAATTAACTTGTGAATAAAGTTCCATAATCAGAAAATCTAAGGGGGCAAATGTTTTAGGGTAGTGGGAAATTTTTGAAAAATGTAACATTCCATGTGCAACAACAAGCACTCCGTCATTTAAAGGCAAAATATGAAAAACAAATTATTAATATATTCTAGTTACACCATGCACTTAAAAAATACAGTGGCTGGGAAGGGACTTGCATAAAATCAATTAAAAGAGAAGCCATAGGGTTCAGTTAAGGGGGAAAGTAGGGACATTGAAGGGCAAAATCAGAAAAAGAACAGCACAGGCACAAAATGAGGTAATTATTATCAAAAACAGTAAAAGGAGTAAGCAAAAGTATTAGGTACACAAAAAGCAAGAGGGTGGCAAATGGAAGAGTAGGTCTGCTACTTAACAGGAAAGAAGAACAAATAATAGATGACAAAGCAAAGGCTGAAATGCTTAATGGATACTCTTCTTCAATTTTCACTAAAAAGCATAATAGTAATAATAATATCCTGCCTTTGAGCAGTCAGAGGAATTGGACTTCTAGAATGGGTTAATTCTGTACTGGGAGGGAAATGGGAACACATAGGCCCAGGATAGTGTTTTCTAATCTATTGTACTCACAATGGACCTGACTTTCTTGTTGAATACAGACTCCATTTTTTTGCAGATGTTCTATACCCATGCTAAAAAATTGCTTCCTGCAATTAACTGTAGATACAAATGTTACCTCTTTGACATCGAATGACTTAATTTTCTCAACTAAATATGTTAGTGTAAATCTGAGGTAAAAGAAGCCAAGAAGCAGGATTCAACAGGGAAGTTGGGAATCCAAGGAGAGAGAGCTGACTCAAAGATTAGGGGGTAGGATTGGTTCCCTAGCTTCATTATCTGGTCTGCCTCTCAGGCTCCCCATTTGCACCTGCAAATAACCAGGTGTCTAAAAATGTGCCAGCAAAAATAGCCTGAGTTAAAATTCAGGGTCCATATGTAGTTCAAG